TTTTTTTTTTTTGTTTTTTTTTTTTGTTAATCCATGATCGAATTTTTTTTTGTAATCCATGGTAGAATTTTTTGAAAATTTGTGATTTTTTTTTTTTAATCCATGATCGAATTTTTTTTTGTAATCCATGATAGAATTTTTTTTAAAATTTGTGATTTTTTTTTTAATCCATGATCGATTTTTTTGAAAATTTGATTTGTTTTTTTTTAATCCATATTATTCAAAGAGAAAATGAGAGGGATGATGATTCTGAGGCCACCCTATCCCAGCCATATTATTCAGCAACAGTGTAGGGATGAGCACGACAGTGCAGGTGAGCATGAAGGATGGACAATCTTCGGGGATTTTAGATTGGGAACACAACAAAACATTAACACTCAGGGATTTGATAATAGTTAGACGCCTGCTAATATCGATGATTCGTTTTTAGATCGAATCAATGAATTGTTAAACGAATTCAATCAATGGCACCAGCGTGACCAAGAAGAACAATAACGTCGTCTATCATTTTATTTTTAGATCATATGTTACTAATTTTATGCTTTATTGTAGTCCATGTATGTTGATATACTTATTCCATGATAATTATATGTTTATCCTTTCGTGTAATGTAAATTAAATGCTGAATGGTGGTTCATGCAGGGAAAGAACATATCAATATTCGCATATTCATTCAAAAACATGAAATTTCTTAATGGAGTACCCTCATTTCTTATTGAATTCCTAAAAAACAATATTTATAATAAATTTTAATAATTTTTTCGGATTTTTTTTAAGCTTTATTATGGCCGATTCACCCTATTCCTGATCCAGATCGCCGATTAGTCGATCCGGATCGATTTTTTGGAAATCCGATCCCGATCACCGATCCGTTTTTTAAACCATTGGTTAAGAGTAATTGTGACATCCTTATAACATATATAAATGATCTAATGGTACGGGATTCCCACAAGAATCCTCCGCCTTTGGGTTTGCAATTTGCACTCAATACTTGCTTCCTTATAACTTCATAGTTCCCATTCAAAAAAGAGATACTCGCTTCCTTTTATAAAAAGGACACGGTTTTGGTGAGTCGGACGATTCACCCATTACCATGCTCTCTCTTATCTATCTAATGTTCATCTTTAAGATGCATGTCAAAAAGTTACATGTACTAAAAGTTAAAAAGGATGGTGAATAAAGGAATTTTAAAAATATCCACATTTATTGGAAAAAAATTCAAAATTTAGATCATTATCATGGTTGAGATTATTAAAATTTGATTGAAAATACATCTTTAAGATATAATTTCTAGGAAAAATGCACAAGAATAGTTTGAAAACTTATCAAAAAAACCTTTTTCCCATAAAAATTCAAATAAAAAGAATATATATATATATATATAATGAGACCATTTAGCTTGTACGACGTGGAGTGGATTCATTTGTTTCGTTGACCAAAGTCAAAATTCCTTATATACAATCCCATCATACATATTACATAATCAAACATCCCAAACTCAACAGCCCTATAATTCTCCTTCAAAGCCACGTGGTCCCTTCCAAATATAACAAACATTTGCAAGAACATTTATGTCTCAAATAAAACTTACACAACTCCATATAACAACAAAACCCAATTCAAGACTAGTCCAGTCAAAACTCAAAAGTCCATAATATATTTGTTTGCTTCCTACCCATGCATGGTTATCAAGAGCGACAAACAAGCCCTAATCACTAAAATAAAGAACCACAGAGAGAGTGGGGTAGAGAGAGGGAGAGAAAATCAAGACTAAGAGAGAGAACCAAACCCAAATCACAAAATAGAACCAATTTTGTGGTTGTCTTTCTTCACCATGCATGGAGAGAGAGAGAGAGGGAGTAGAGAGAGAGAGGAGGGAGGGAGTGGGTAGAGAGAGGGAGATAAGAAAACCAAGCCCAAATCACAATCGTGCATAAGAGAGAGAAAGGACCATGCAAGAGAGAGAGAAAGAGAGCGAATGCAAGAGAGATAAAGCGAGCCATGCAAGAGAGAGAAAGAGAGGGGTGGAGAGAGAGAGAATTGTCTTTCTTCACCATGCAGAGAGAGAGGGAGAGGGAGAGATAGAGAGAGCCAGGCAAGAGAGAGAGGGGTGGAGAGAGAGAGAGAATTGTCTTTCTTCACCATGCAGAGAGAGAGAGAGAGCATCTCATCATAAGACCAATGCTTCAGCTTCACCATAAGCATGAGGCAATACTGTGTCTAGGGCACTAATCAACAAAGAAGGGGCAGTGACGTGAGGGACATGGCCCTCAACATCAAGGACCTCCAGTGAAGCTTTCCCTCCAAGCTCCCTCTTCAAATACTCTGCAACAAACATTGGAACAGCACGATCCTCCCTTGTTTGAATCAAAACACAAGGCACCTTCAACTTTGGCAAAATATCTCTATAATCACTCAAAAACACAGTCTTCAAAATAGAGACTGCAATCTCAGGCTTCATACTCTTTAAACTGTCATTGAATCCTCTCACTAAAATGGGGTCTTCTGATCCCAACACATACGGAGCAAAGGTTTCAGTCCATGCGGTATAATCAGATTCCATGCTTTTAAATAAAGACTCCAATTCAGACCTCTCAAACCCACCTTCATAGCCCTCTGAATTCAAATACCTGCAAAAGTTTCACAAATAGAAAAGGTTAGAAACTTGGGAGGGGAGAGAGAGAGAGAGGTCATGATGAAGAGAGATAAATAAGGGAGAAATGGGTTCCAGATAGGAATAGAGAGTGGGGTAGAGAGAGAAAACAGTGTGATTTTGGAGGCTTAGCAATGGGTTTTTGGGATTCTGATGGAAAAGAAACAGAGGTGTCAAACACTGAGAACATGAGTTAGAGAGAGAAACAGAATTAGAGTGAGAAAAAGAGTGAAACTCTGGATTCTGAGAAGTGGGTTTTGAGGCTTTTGATAGAGGATACCATTCTAGACCTTTTTTGAGTCCCTTGATTGAGGATATCATGGGATACTTTAACAAAGCACTGGCAGGTTAGAGAGAGAACGCAGGCTTTAGAGAGAGAAAGAAGCTTTAGAGAGAAAAAACAGGGGTGGATTCTGAATTCTAGGAGATGGTTTTTTGAGCCTGGCCCTGGGGCAGACCTTGGAGAAGCGCCAAGGAGTATCAGACTCTGAAAAATCTCTGGTCTTTTAATGGCAGCAAAGCAACCTATCATGCCAGACATGGAATGACCCAAAAAAACACAGTTTTGAACACCAAGCTCCTCGAGGAGAGAGAGAAGATCATCTGAAAAAGCTTCAAGAGAGGAGTATATCTCTTCATCATAGAGTTTTGGGTCCACATGTCCACACCCAACCATATCATAGACAACCACTCTGTGATTTTGCAGGAGATGAGGGAGAATGTATTGCCAAATGGCCTGGTTACTTCCAAAGCCATTAGAGAGAATGAGGGTTCTCTCTCCTGAACCCAAGATTTTTGCATTAAGAGAGGATTGAAGGGAGGGTTTCATGTTTCCCATGGTTGAGAAATTGAGGGGATTCTGATGCCAAAAATGGAAAAAAATTGTGAAGAGAGAGAGAGAGGAACAAAAAGCAGAGATGCCCTGCCTTTGAATTGGACACTACTGCCTTGGAATGGAGGTGCACTTAAATAAATTAATAAACAGAGAGAGAATGAGAGTGTGGGGGATGGGATAAGACTCAGTCTGTGAATGCTCATGTTTGAATGGAGGTATTGCAAGAGTGCCCTCCAAGACTTTATTTTCACTTATTGGGCGATCTAGAAATTCAATTTTTTTTTTTTGGGGTAAATTAATGTTTGAATGGAGGTATTGCAAGAGTGCCCTCCAAGACTTTATTTTCACTTATAGGGTGCTCTAGAAATTCAATTTTTTTTTTTTGGGGTAAATTAATGAGGATGATGTCCGGGGCCTTTATCAGTAAAGTGTGTGACATAAGGACTTCCTAAAGGTCACCCATCCTAGTACTACTCTTTTGCCTAGACAAGCTTAACTTCAAAATACGTATGAGATTTGGTGTATTAGTATAAATATAACTTCACCCCAAATTTTACTAATTTGATATATGTGATTTTAGAGTTTGGTTTAGTAACCTCTAAATAACATTGCCACCCAGTTTCCCCATGTGGCGTTGGAGGGGTTGGACACTCTTTCTATCTCTCTCCCAATGTACTCTCTTAGAGGTATCGCAATAGTACCCTCAAGTCAAAATTTTGGATATTTATCTCATTGGATATTTTCAAAATCAAATTTGCCATTGGGAAATATATAATCTGAATGGGATTGTCTAACAAAATATATGAATCTGAATGGGATTGTCTACCAAAATATATGAATCTGAATGGGATCGTCTACCAAGATATATGAATCTGAATGGGATTGTCTACCAAGATATAGAAAATTTGAATGGGATTGTCTACCAAGATATATGAATCTAAATGGGATTGTCTACCAAAATATATGAATTTGAATGGGATTATTGTCTACTAAGATATAGAAAACACAATCATTCTCATTCATTAGATGTCAAATTGGATAGATTGGGGTAAGTTATGAAGTGAGATTTTTTATTTTTTGAACTTTATGTCTGTTTAATGACACTCTTACGACTATCCATTTTAAAATTTAACGAATAAAAATAATTGTTACTTTTATGTACAAAAGATAAAAGATCTTTTTATAGATTAAATCTGAATCATGGTTTGCTCTCTTTTATGGCCAATAAACCTATCTATTCTCTACTCATGAGGTGGCGTTCTCCCCCCCTCTCTCTCTCTCTCCCTCTCTCTCTCTCTCTCTCTACTACTACTACTACTTACTACTTACTTACTTACGTTACGTTACGTTACGTTACGTTACGTACGTACGTACGTTACGT